ACTAGTATTTACCCACTGTTGTCATTGTTGCAGTTTAATTTTGGATTTTATTCAGGTGAAGTGGTTATTATGAATGTGTTTATTTTGATTTTGTCCATGATCTTGCTTGTACCTCAGTGAAAAAGATTGGGATCCTGTGTGTAGAGTTTATATCCTATTTAAAGTAATTGTATTGTCAGATTATAGTCAAAGAATACAGTATTCAACATGTATTTTGAAGTCTAAGAGTTTATTCTAACTGTATTAATTCAATTACCATAAAATGTGTTCCCTTTCTCTCTTCATTTTGTTGATGTCTTTCATTCATTCTTGAAGCTACATGCGCAAGGAGATATCAGATTAACACATTTAATTCTAGAGAGAGAGGTTTACCATTTTATATAATGCAGATTTACATATTGAGATGATAGGTTCATTAAAATTAATATTGGAAACCATGCTCTGAAACGTTGTATAGAAAAAATGTGAATGAAGCTCATGTTATTCTGGGCATTTTCTGCATTTAATGCGTATCTCTTGCTCCATAGATCTAAGTTATCTGCTGCTAATTTATTAAAACTGTCCTTGAGGGTATCTGTTATGTGTCTTTGTGTGAAAACAAACAATATTATGAGATAACGGAAGGTAATATTACAACTCTGTCCTCAGGTAACATTCTCAGGTACCAATATACAATGCAATAAAAAGCAGGAGAGTTTACTTCCTCCCAATTTTTATGAGTCATCTGAGAAATACTATGCAAAACATTTGAAGCAAGTCATGGTTGTAGGTGAGAGTTATAGAAAACAATCAGAATAAGTCCTGGACGTCTGAAACGTGAAAAGACATACTATTCTTGTTCTTTTCACTTGCGACTGTTACTCTGTTTTGTAACTGAAAGTTTTGCTGAAAATATTGACAGGTAAGGTATTGGCCTAAATCTGCTTGCCAGTCCTAACCAGAGTAGACTCATTGAATCAAAGGGATGTGTATAGCTTATCTTTCAGACATTTGTGGAGTTCAGTTAATCTTCATGAATTGATAAAACAGTGACAGCTTATAATGTTGAGGGTGGGTATATTCAGACCCCAATAAAACTAATGTATTGTAGGGTATGAAGGAATTCCATGTCTAGAGGAATGTTGGTATGGGAAGAATTAGATGTGTTCTTCCCAAACCCCGGAGCCAGAAACACATGGTAGAATAAAAATAATAATAATTAAGATATACACTCCTTGTATTGTACTGTATCAGAAATTTGTTCCTGACCTTAGCAAATGTCAGCTTTCCTCTAATGGAATAAACTTTGGATTTTCTTGAATAGTTTGTTGGACTACGTAATGTCATTTCTGTCATTTTGTCATACTAGGCTGCAATCCAGTGCACATATATCTTGGAAAAGTTTCCACTGAATTTGTGGGATTTCTCAATAGGTATGCATTGTTTGCCCCCTCAAGTACTGCTGCAAATGTTCCTATTCTAGAACACTGTCTTTAAACTAAAATTTTAAACTTTGCTTTTTACTACACTTTCTCTAAAGAACTCAGAATGGTTTATCTATGATAGGCTCAAAATTCAGCCCCAGAGTTCCTTATCTTCAATAGTTCAATGATGTTGCCTGCCTTGACAGCATCCTCTGGGATATTGTAGGGAAAATTCAGCCTGCCTTCTCTCTCTCTCTCTCTCTCTCTCTCTCATAAATATATATGCTATAATTGCCCCTACATTGTGGCCAGGACAGTGTCATCTGGGCGCACACACACACGAACCATTTCCCCTGAAATACAAACTGAGAAGAGGTGAAAGAGCGAGTCTTCCCACTTGCCCCCCACTTTGTCTGGAGAGGGAATGCCTGTCTAATGAAGAACACCCAGGTTTTTAGTTGTGCCTTGAATTGTGTGGTATCACATTGTGGAGGAGTAATGTTCACATTTCTTGGTGTATGTGTAAAGCAGTTAGCAATAGGCCCAATCTGATTTGTTTGTATGAAATCCATGTCTTCTTAGTACAATGACTATAGGCATAATGGAAGCTTCCTCCTTGGGCACATCTAAAATATCATGATAACACAGTCTAAATATTGTTAGAGTCTTGTCAAGTCTGAAGACACATACAGCATGCAACGAATTACTAGTGATTAACAGTTTTATGTCTGCCTTTCTCATGAAAGTGTCATCTCCTGTTCTGTTTGCAGAATATATATTTTACATAGATTCATAGCTTAGAATGTGTTCAAGTAACACACACTTGCCAGTTTATTCTAAGCCAAGATTTATTGCTTGGCAACTTACTGGCTAAAATCCTTTGGAACTTGGTAAGTCAATGCCTTTGTGTCATTGATTCAAATGGGCCTACTCTAGTTGTGACTTACTTTAGCATAGTAAACTTCAGCCAGACTGGGCCCATTTGAATCAATGTAACTCATCAAATCGCTGCTGATTCCTATGGATATATTCTACTACAACTTGCTATGCTAAGGAACAGAATTTCAGCCATTGTAAGCTACCCAGAGGATTTGATGAAATGTAAGAGAAGACAACTATGGCTGATAAAATAAAGAAATATGGTCACTGGTTTTGTCACTATCGCCAGACCTCTAGAATTAATGATCTAGAATAATGGTTCCCAACATTGGGTCCCCAGATGTTCCTGGATTACAACTCCCAGCGCTCCTGGTCAGCACAGCTAATGGTGACGGCTTTTGGGAGTTTTCAGCCAAGAACATCTGGAGACCTAAGTTTGGGAACCACTGATCTAGGAGAAGCTGTCGGATGGGTTGGGCAGCTTTGAAGGGATCATATGATAACTTTCTGCCCTTGTGATTGTCTAAATGTTGCACAAAGCACTGACAATGGGACCACACAAACATAGTTACTTACAAAATCAAAAGGAGCTAATACTCCCCTTCTACTTTTGAAAAAAAGTGGTCTTAGCTGGTGCAGGGAACTGTGTGTGGGAAGTGTTTAAGAAATAAATTGCAACTCCAGGGGCCTTCCAGAAACTGCAGTTTTCTCCCACCTTAAAAAAGAAAAGGATGAGGGAAGCCTGGGAGCCGCAGAATTAACTTCGGGGATTGTATGTGGTCCCAGGCTTGAACTTTGCTCATCCCTGCACTAGGAGACAATTGGGTGGTTTCTTCCTAAAAGCAGAACAAGTGGCCAGAGCAGCAAAGGGGGGGATCATAACTATTAATTGAGGAAAGCTGTAAAATATCTTTTTCTACTGTAAGAGAATTCTCTACTTGTAAAACATCTTCCTCCAAGATTTTTTTGGGACATATTTAAGAAATATCAGTTCTAAGAAATACCAGTGTAGCATGATGGTTGCAGTGAAAATACTTGATATATGTCTAGATTTGTTTCTTTATTCAAGATTGCCTCTCAGTGTTGCCATTTATTCTTCTGTCAGTTGGTTAATTGATGATCACCACACGCTACTGCGGCAGATACTTCAAACTCTTTTAAATTGTTTGCATAACTTTGGAAGTGATAGTACCACTTAATTGCACTGTTAGTAGAACTAGATTTGGGTTTGTATGCACCAAACAAGGCACACTCAGTCCATTTTCTGAACTTTAGGAAAGCAGTGCCTCATTAGATTCAGGAAATCACAATTTCACAAACTTCTTTAGAGGCTAAAACACACTGCTTCCAACTCTTGGGGGAAAGAAGAAAACAGAAAAATAATCAGTGATTTTGCTGGTATTTGGTGGGGAGTATTCTTTTGAGAGGATCCGTTATTGCATTTAGATTTTACTGCACTGAAAAAATAAAGCCATAGCACTGTGCCATCTGATTTAAATTTTGTTGTCCTGCACTCTATGATCTTTTAAATAACAAATTCAAGTAAAGGCAAATAATATTTAGGGCTGTAACTTTCCAATGAAGGTTAGTAGATCCAGTGCATTATGTTCTTTCTGTGCTCTTCTAAATCATACTTTCCTGGAATCATAATGTTTAACTTTTAGAAATTAAGTCATTTTAAATCTGTGATGCCCTAGATATTGTCGTTTAGCGCAGGAAAAAAAGACTTTCTTGAAAGAGAATTGTCCGCATTATGCTAGTATTGTTTCTGAAGACTACCTCTCTCCCTAAAAAGTGTACTTAACAATTGTTTGAACTTGCTTGGAGAGAAAATTGAATGTAAAGTCTAAAATACGATGTAGTGTGAATTTTTATACACATCCAAACTGGCAATGTTATCTGTTTGGGGTCATGTTAATTTAGATTGACTTGCTTGGTTTTAAGCTCTGTTTTGTCCTTTTTACTCAATACTTTGTGCTTATTTGAATGAACAAATCTTTTTCCTTAGAGGACAGCTTGCAAGATCCAAAAGTACAAGACACCTATCTGTCTTTCAAATCAGATATGGAAAAAAATATCCATTGTCCGGAATGTCCAAGGATTAAATGTTGTTTCTTGGGGAAGATATGTAGTAGTACCAATTGTTTGAGAATGGAAATAAAAGTTGTTATTTCAAAGAAATAGTTCCTTTTAGATGTATTATTCTGAGCACTTGGGGTATAACTACGTAGGGCAGTAGAATTAGAAAATATTTTGCATGCAGAATGTTATATGTAAAATCTAACCACAAATCAAAAGCATTACATTTTCCATTAACTGGAACATTTCTGATAACTCTTACAAGCAGTAAAAATGATTCATAGAAGAATGAAATAGTTCTAATTCATTCTCGATTCTAACCATTCCCCAGAGGGTATCAATTTCTGTTGTTGTGTGCTTGGCCGTGTTTTAAAAACAAAGAGCCAAATAGATGCCTTTTTCATTGAGGTTGTTGTGAAATTGTATACTCCTCTCTGTGTATTGTAAAGGTTTCTGTGGGTGGCTGAAAGTAACGTAACAGTAAATAAAGAGTTAAAAAAAGAAAGAAAGGCAGGCGGGCTGGTTTGTTGAGATCTGTCAGAGTCTGAGTGGCTGGCTATGTATCTGTCTGAGGAACAATAGGTACCTGTATTCTGCACGGGCTGCTGGTCAGGCATTAGCAATCTGGAAAAGGTCTGCCTCTGTTAGAGGTTTCTTCCTGAGAATCCCTAATGACAGTCCCACTTTTCAATAGGGAGGGGTGGAAATCCCAGCTCCTGCCTTGATGAGGAGGGGCAGAGCTTTCATCATTGCTATTCAGCCTTGACTTGGTCTGGGAGACCGAGGGTCTCTCAGTCTAGAAGTCAGCAGGCTGTCTTTACAGTTACTTCACAGAGGCACACACAGAGAGAGACAGAAGAAGCACATGCTCGTGCACTCTCATGCGCGCATGCACACACACACACACACACACATCCCATTGCTGCTCTAAGCAGGCAGCTTAGTGTCACAGCTACAGCCGAGGCACAGTGCAGTGAGCACGGGTGAGACCACTCTCCGTGGTGGGAAGAGGGTGTGTAGACGGTGGTGACAGCAGCGAAGGAGCCATTCCGCCTGCAAGTATAGGTAAGAGAGAATATCCATTTTCTCAAGTTTTCATATCCACTCAGATTCGTTCACTGTCAATGGTACTTTTTGAAGAACGAAACCCTTTCCTATTTCAGATTGCAGGTCCTTCCGGTTGGCTTTCCAGCACGAGCTCTGCCTGTACAAAAAGATGCGCTTTTCGTTTTTGGGTTGCTGTCCATTCTCATTAGGAACTTTAACAAGCACTATTCAAAAATCTATTTTGAAGCGTTCTATTGGGGTCTATATTATGTTCAGTAGCGTTTATCTGTTACTGTTTAGAAGGACAAAATGCCGCTTTGCACACTGACCTTACATATACAGTATAAAAACTGTGTGCCATCAAACCAGGTTTTAATTATTTTTACACTGTTAACTCTATGGAGGTCAGAGAGTTTTAAAAATTAATGAGCTTCCCTGCTGAGTTCAAATAGTGTAATCTGCATGAGTAGCTGCAGTAGGACGATGACATTATTCTGGGAATATTTTTAATGCAGGTTTAACCTTTAGACTTGAATATATTGCCTTCTGAAAAATTCTTTTGATTAATCAGAGGTTTGGATAATCTGTATTTGGAAAAGGGTCAACAGTATAAAATGTATATCAAGTCGAGCTTTACAAATGCACAATATGGTGCACCAAAGCTAGTGAAGGATTTTTTAATGGACCAAAAAGAATTTTGAGTCCTTTCTATTGATGCTTTACACATATTGTGCACAACTTACTGAATATATGGGATGGGACAGCACATCATGGTCAAGAAGAAAGTGCTGGCAAAGTGGAATATTGTTTGAATTTTAAAGCGCAAAATGGTTAAGAAAACTGGGGGAACAAAGTTTGGTACAGCATAAGGTTGAACAAAGCAAAAGAGGAAGTGATGCTACACAGCTGAAATTTTTTCCACTCTTTTAATGGAATTTAAATCGCATATCATCATTTCCTGGTTTGAAAAAAAAAAGATCAAATTTGATACCTTTTGCTGTCCTTTGCATATGTTAAGTTACTGTATGAAGCACATAGAGGAATAAAGACTATCTTTTACTTGTGTGCTTTGGAATGCTTTCTGTTTATTGTATTGTGAACTGGAGAGAGAAAAGAAGGCACTTGGAAGCCACAGTGTCCTGTAATCTGTGTGGGAGATACATTTTATTCATTTACCCATTTACAAGATGCATTCTGAGCTTCCTGTGATCCATTGTTATGTAAATCTTGTTCAGCAGGGGAAAGCACTGCTAAGAAGATTCAATTTACTTGGAAAGTTGTTCATTTTTAGCTAGGATGAATGTTATTTATTTGATGTAATTCAAAGGCAAGGAATGTGTTTTTCTTGGTGAAACCTATCATGACAGGTGGAGGTGATCTAATCTTTTTAATTTTGATTTTCATACCAGAGGAGATTAAAGGATGATCTCAGTGCCTTTACTAACTACCAAGGCTTCATGGACGCCTAAGCGCTCTTGGTTGCCATGGCCGGTCTGACCTCATGTCTATCTCATTTTCAGAACTAAAGAAGTCTTTTTTCACGTTTACGAGGGTGTACCTTGATTTATGTCCAAAATTGTGACTTAATGTCTTTGTATCCATGTGATAAATGGTGGCATGCGATTAATCATTTCTTAGAAGTAAACACTGCTGTCCCACTGAAAATATGTTTTGTTCTGAGTTAATGGTATGGAACAAGTCACTCTGAGCAAACAGCTATCTATTTCTTTTAGAGAGCTATTGAAACTTGGATCAAAAAGGAGGAAATTGGCATTCATTTCTCATGCATTAGTGTTTCATTTCTGCTATCGGATGATGAGGCAGCATGTAGATTGACAATTAATGGCTAGCATTCCATTTCCTCCCATCTAAATACTGTATATAATAGGTCAAATCTGATATTCTGCAGGACCAGAAAAAGGTCCACAGAGCGTTATCTGATTCTGTTTGTCTGCTACTCCATTATTACTGACCGTACAAAGACAGGCTGTTAGAAGTACTTGCGCTCTTCTGAAAGAACCCCACTGTTTTACTTTTATGCAAGTTCCTTGAACTGAAATACTATCAGATTTTGTTACTACTAAAAATGTTCAGCCTGGATGATACTCAATGACCCTTGCATTTTCATGTCCTGGAGAACATTTTTAATAAGGAACTACTGTGATTTTTAAAAGTCTGGGATTTTATTAATTAATTAATTAATTTAAAGAACTGGAATGTTTCTTCTGATAGATGAAAATTTCTGGTTTGACTTGTTATTTATTTGGCTTCTGTGTTCCCGGCTAATGTAATAATGGACTCAAGCACACAAAGAAAATGATTTGCATTTCTTTAGTAATGGGGGGGGGGGAAAACACAACAATGTTTCACAGCCTTAACCTGTAGCAATGATTCTTGGACATAAATTGGCTAGCTAAGATTGCATCTCTTGACAAATATCCAGATGTCACGTTGTGCCTGATAAGATGGATTCGATTGCAAATAAATGTTGATCTAGCAGTCTTTAAACAGAATTCTGTATTCTCTTAAGAATCCTACATCATACATAAAAGAGGTAAAAGTAAAAAATTTATAGAGTTAGAGCAAGACTTTGTCATGTTTAGAGTAAACACTTTGAAACAAATGGGACAAACCTTAGTTTAATTGGCTGGTGACCGTCTCCTAACTAGGCACCAGCCTGAATGGCCAAAATAAGTTTTTGTTGAATGTTGGAATATGAGGTATAAAGCTAAAAAAATGTATACTATTAAACAAAATTTTATTCAAAATTTTATTTACAGTGTTTATACGTCCCTTAAATCTGTTTCATATTTTCGTCACAGAACTTTGAAAAGACAATTTAAGCAATGCTTGCTTCTCAGGAGGTTCAACAGGCAGGGCTAGACTGAATAGGCATTGGCACTGAGATTTGCGGCCAGATGCAGAAGCTTCAGAAGCTGAATCTTTGGGGAACATTTCTGATGGCTTGATAGCAGTTGACCAAGGACAGAGCTCAGATAAACTCTGTTTGAAGGGAAGGAACGTGAATAACAATCTTTTCTTTGCCTGCTTGCTGCCTTAAGGAGATACAGACTTCCCCCAAAGAGAGTACTGTAGGTGGCTCATGGACAAGATGGGAGACCCCAATTTCATTCCTAAATTTGATAGGAGCCCTCCAGCCCTGGTCATGAGCCATCATTGCGTAGGACAGTGTAACTGTTATGTATTACAGACGTGCAGTGAACTAATTTTTGTGCATAAATCAGCCATTAGTATATCTTTAGATGTTTCCTTCTGCCAGTAACCAAATAAAAATGCTTCATAATTATGTGAAATAAAGCAGGGCGTGAGGACACAGGGGCTGAAAATTCTACCAGATACAGTCATCAAATTTAATCTTGCTGCTTTCAGTGGTGTATATAAATTACTGTGGCCTGAGCATCATTGCAAGAGTTCCATATGCCCGCTTTAAAAGATAAAGAATTGCATTGTCTTAGTTAACTGCTTCCAAATACGGCAGTATTGATTAACCAGCAGGAGATGCTGTTTAAGTGTTTCAGCTGTCACCCTTCCTTTGGAGTACATCAGTTTCGCCACTGACTCATTTTCTGCTCATCCATACCTGGAGGAGAAGAGTGTATTCTACTGCTTTGACTTCCCTGGGTTTATGAACATATTTGTCTGGAGTTTGATTCCATTATTTATGCTGATCATACATCTTTCGGCTTTTAAAATACAATATGGCTAAGTGGTGCGGGGAGGACAAATGAACAGGAAATTGTTAAAAGCCCACACCTAAACACAGCAGTGTATTTGTCATTATCTCCTGTTTGTCTGTTTAAAACAACATAACCAGACACTTGCATCAGTTTTATAGAAATGTTTTAAGCACTGGATACATTTGAAATTAGGAAAGTATTGATACATTAAGATTTTTATGACTGAATGTTGTTCCAAATCACATCTACACAGCTTGTCAACGTGAATTTTAGGGAGGCTTGTACTTCCCAGAGTCCCCTAGCCTGCATGGCAAGTGGTTCTTTCAGCTATGGGTGCACTCATCCATCCCCTTAAATTTTCTCATGTTAGACTGCTCCCCACACAGGCTGCAATGAGATGAATCCCAAGGGTGTTACACAGAAGGCAGGAAAGAGGACCAGACTGAAAATCGGTGGGGGAAGTGACGGTTTCATTTCCCAGTTCATAATTCAAGTTGCAACATAGGAATTCTCCATCTGTGCAAAGTACCTCAGCTTGTTTGCTCCTAATTTCTTTCCAGGGTGCAGCTTCCCCATCCCACATGCCAAGTCCTTTCCCAAGGGTCCCACACTCTCTGGAAAGGCTGTTTGGGATATGCATGGGGCTGCAGTGTGGAATACAGTCAAGGAACCCCCTTTTTATCAAGTGGACTTATGCTTATGCGATGCTAGACACAAATCCTTCACATTTTACTGGGCAATGCATATTATAATTTTGGACTTGGTTGTTCTATTCGTTTGGAGAGTCACATTTATCCTTTGCTTTTTGCAATTCTCACTTCCTTCCCATTAGCCAACAAAACAACCCCCATCTCTTTTTAACTTGCTTTTAGCACAGTATATAAATTCTTCTTCTTCTTCTTCTTCTTCTTCTTCTTCTTCTTCTTCTTCTTCTTCTTCTTCTCTTCTTCTTCTTCTTCTTCTTCTTCTTCTTCTTCTTCTTCTTCTTCTATAGGAATCTCTGCCTTGGTGGGTGAGCCCCTGGGATGCATTGATCTTCTTGTGTTCTCCTTTCACATGTTGGTAACACTAGTCCCTCTGACTATCAGACACCTAAGATGTTTCACTGAGAGAAGGGCAACCCTGGGGAAATCACCATCACCCTTCCGTAAGGATCAAAGTGTTGAAGATTTGCACAAAGCCTTTGAAGCACATTAGATTGAAACACAGAATATTCTTGCAGGACTTTAGATAGTGCTTCCTATCTGGAAGAGCAGTTGAGCTTACGTTAGCAGATAGCTTTTGAAGTCCTTGAGAATTTGCATTTTTCTTCCTACTCTT